TCAAAGTCTTCCCACAGATAATGTATTTATTTATAAAATATTTTACCAGGAATGATTCATAATGGCCTTGATATTTAATTTTTTTGTATAAGCTTTTCAAATAATATTATATTTTTGGCAACATTAAAATATCAAAAAATACACCCGGTTCCAAATTATTATGCAAATGATATTTTTCTCATTTACCTAAATAATGGATGTAAATAACAGTCAGCATAATTCTCATGTTATCAACTATTAAGAGTACAATTCAAATTTTATTGAACAAACCTCCTAATGATAACAGTATTTTTTTTAAACATAAAAAACTTACAATGCACTGTTCCAAATTATTACGCACAGTAAGTTTCAAAACACTTTATAGGTTGTAAAGAACTGAAAATTGTCATTTGTTGTGTTTGCAGCATATTTACTGAAATCAAAAGCTATTTCAATCAAACTTATAACAACATTTTAACAGGTCACGTTACATTTTAACATAGTACCCCTTATTTGATAGCAGCATCGCAAGTCTTGCATCCATTAAACTTGTGAGTTTTTGGACAGTTTCTGCTTGAATTTGTTTGCAAGATGTCAGAATAGCCTCCCAGAGATGCTGTTGTTTGGATGTAAACTGCCTCCCACCCTCATAGATCTTTTGCTTGAGGATGCTCCAAAGGTTCTCAATAGGATTGTGGTCAGGGGAGGATGGAGGCCACACCATGACTTTCTCTCCTTTTATCCCAGAGCAGCCATTGATGTAGAGGTATTCTTTGCAGCATGAGATGGTGCATTGTCATGCACGAAAATGATTTTATTACGGAAAGCATAGTTCTTCCTTCTGTACCAGGGAAGAAAGTGGTCAGTCAGAAACTCCACATACTTTGCAGAGGTCATCTTTACACATTCGGGGACCCTAAAGGGGCCGACCAGCTCTCTTCCCATGATTCCGGCCCAAAACATGACTCCACCACCGCCTTGCTGATGTCGCAGCCTTGTTGGAACAGGGTGGCCGTCCACCAACCATCCACTACTCCATCCATCTGGACCAGCCAGGGTTGCATGGCACTCATCAGTGAACAGGACTGTTTGAAAATTAGTCTTCATGTATTTTTCTGCCCAATGCAGCCATTTCTGCTTGTGAGCATTGGTTAGTGGTGGCCGAATAGAAGGTTTATGCACAGTTGCAAGTCTCTGGAAGACTCTACATCTTGATGTCCGTGGGACTCCAGAGGCACCAGCAGCTTCAAATATCTGTTTGCTGCTATGTAATGGTATTTTAGCAGCTGCTCTCTTGATCCGATGCATGGATCTGGCAGAAATCTTCCTCAATGTGCCTTTATCTTCACAAACTGGTCTGTGTTTTAAATCAGCCACAAATCTCTTAATAGTGTGATGAGTACGCTTAAGTTTTCGGGAAATATCTAATGTATTCATACCTCGTCCAAGGCATTGAACTATTTCACTCTTTTCGGCAGCAGAGAGAACATTTTTCTTCCCCATATTGCATGAAAATGGTGCTCTGCTTAATAATGTGGAACACCCTCCTTTAGTAGTTTTTCCTTAAATTGGGCTCACCTGGTAATCTAATTATCACAGGTGTCCGAGATTGTTTTCAGTGATCAAAAGAGCCCTGAGACACAATGCCATCCATGAGTTAAACTGAAAAACTAAATATTTAATCTTTGTGACACTTAAATAGAATTTGCATAATAATTTGGAACAGAGTGTATATCAGGTTTTTCAAAATATTAAATCTTTTCAAAATGTATACAAAAATATTAAATAATTTGAAAATCTTATACAAAAATATGGAATAAATACCAATATTAGAAAATAGCTCTACTGGTAAACATTAGGTTGGTATTTCCTTTTGTCTGACATTTGATGCATGCCTACAGGGGACAGATTATAAGGCCATAAAGGTCTTACTAGTGAGCTATGGTCGAACAGATAATCATAAAAATGATTTGAGCCTTTAACTTCCAAATATCAATGCAGCAAATATAACTAGGCCACTCTAATAGACCAATGTAATTGGGGAAAGTGAAAGTATGTTAAATAAGCACTTTATCTTCTGTTTTGCTTGTTTTTTTTCTTTTTTTTTCTTTATATATGTGAGTTGGCATGCAAGGATATTTTGAATAGTTGAACCTGTGAATATCTGCCATATGTTCTACAAACAACTCACTATTTGATTTACTATGGATGTTAAATGCATGTTTTGTAAAGACTTACAACCAGGTGTAATGGACTCACCTCTGCATTATTCCAGTATGAGCGAGCCAAATCAGTAACACTCACCACTAAGACAGAGACGTAGCTTAGAAGTAGGCCTCAGCTATGCTTCCAGTTGAATTCACTCTGAATCCCTAACAATTCTCACTTTAATAATTATAGGATCACTATAGTGTCAGGAAAACAAACCCGTTTTCCTGACACTATAGTGCCCTCGGGGTCCCCTTCCCTTGGTGCTGAAGGGGTTAAAACACCTTCAGCAGCTTACCTTAATCCTGCGCCGGATTCCCTCGGCGCTGGTGATCTCTCCTCCCCTGCCGACGTCAGCTCCCGAGTGGAGCGGAATGCGCATGCGCTCAATGCTTTCCTATGGACATTCTGCATGCGAATTTTGCATCCAGCGTCGCAGATGCACCTCTAGCAACTGTCAGGAAGACAGCCACTAGAGGTTGGATTAACCCTGCAAGGTAAACATAGCCGTTTCTCTGAAATGGCTATGTTTACATGTGTAGGGTTAAAACCTGAGGGACCTGGCACGCAGACCACTTCATTGAGCTGAAGTGGTCTGGGTGATTATAGTGTCCTTTTAATCCTGATAGTGTCATCAGAGCGTTGAAAAAAATATTTTCTTATTTCCTACCAAAGCATTGTTATTAAACTTTACTAATATTTTTTAATCCTTTTTTTAGTAATATAGTTTTAGTATCATAACAACTTTTAGTTGAAAGCTAGATAAAATAAATCGGTGAGGCCACATAATGCCACAGAGATAAGCAAAACGTACAAAGTAATTAGTAGGTATTTCATTAATTTCATGGCCCAATTAAATGCAATAAAACAAAAATTGACTAAAGGAATAGTTAATTGCTTGCCACGCTTTTAATATAAACTGTTAGCTTTCATGGTGGAGTAATTTGTCAAGGGACAAGTAAATACAGAACTAACACAAATGTAATATACTAAGATACAATTTGTCACAGCATGAAGCCTCTGCTCTAGACAGTTTTTAATGGTGTATGCTTGTATTTAGCTCAATGTAGGGGAAATGCAAAATTGCAGAAAATGTATGAAATATGGGATGCAATGCAGCGAGTACGAAGGAAAAACTGCAATTTAAAAATGTAAAGGAGGAGTGCAGTTCTGGCCGGAGACAGAAATGGCCACATAAGACAGGAGCTCCTCCACAACCAAACCATAAACAGCACTTTTTTTTTTTTTTTAATTCTTTATTTTCGTTTTGGTGCATCAAAATCACATTTTCATACAGTCGTGACAGAGATCATTCTGTGAGATATGTGCACCATTTTGGGTCAAGCAATATCAATTTAGGTATAACAGTAACAATTTGAACAATATGTAGAGAAAAGAACAGTGTTATACAGTTGTTTCGTGTTTTTGGGTCATAAACAGCACTTTTAAACAAGAAATTACTTGCCTGCACTAGTGGGGTGGATGGAGATGCAAAGTCCCAAAAACCGCCCAGGCAGCCATCTGACATCAACTCACCAATCACGGACATGTTAACAGTGTTGCGGGCCTCACAGCAGGCCGCATATGCCTACACTCCTTGCCAATGCTTTCTTCGCACAGGGAGGCAGATTCCACGCCACAAAACACTGCACAAATTTTAGCCAAATCGGCCAAATTAAAATTTTTCCTAACACAAGAAACAGACAGGAACACAAGGGAAGTAAAATCAGAGATACAGGCCTAGGGCAATTGTATGGCTGAACTAGAGGAACAACTAGTTGACCCCCGTAGACTTTTTTTGTAATGCAGATGCTGGCTAGCAGCCACATGATTAACTCTTGTGCCACCAAGGTTTTCCGTTTTTTTTTTTTTAACTATTTGCCTGCTAGCTGCTAATGCTGCCAGAAGGCAAATTGTTCCTGCGTTCGGTCCGGCTGACATCCGTTTGGGGTTGAATTTCAAAATCCGGTAATTCTTGAACAATGTCAAGATGTAGCTGCCGGATGGTACACATTCGGACTTTAGTGAAGTATACCATCGATGCCAATACTTGTTTTATGTCACCATTGTATTCTTGCAGAGCACTGCATAATATAATATGTTGTCTTGCTAATTTCAATAATAGCTAATGCTAATCAATATACATATATATTTCATGTTGATGTTGATGATTATACAATTCTGAACAAGAGCGCCACTTTTAGGTATGCAGTGAAATTTATTTCGACATTATGTTCTTGCCTAAAAATTGATACCAGTTCATCTGAGCCCTTGTTTTCCCTTTTTGTGTTTGTAATATGTATAATTAGGCATTAAAATGGCACTTAATTAACCAGGGCTCTCAGTCATTGGCATCCAGGGTTGAATGGATTTATACAGATAATGGGGGAAATATAATTTCTGCATTATCTGTGCAGCAAGTTTAAGAGTGTTTGATCTAAGAGTGCCACGAAGAGAGTTTTTTGTCAAACCACTCCAAAACAGTTTGACACAATAGTATGGGATGGCACCCAGAGACTCTAGCACCATAGCCAGGGGCAGGCTGGGCTGGGTGGCATGGAGGAAATTGCCCCCCAGGCCGCCGTAAATCCAGGGCCGCCCGCATCCACACACAAAAAAAAAATGTTCCCCCCAGTGGCTGAACTACCGCGCCCGGCTGCTCTGTAGACCCCTGATGGCAGGACTGGCTCTCCTTGCAAAACTGCTATTTAGTATATTGCCAATTTGCCAATATACTAAATAGCAATTATATTACCTCACTGATTGGCCAGTAACCTCAGTAAAGGGCAGAGTGGGGTCAGATCGATTATCCCGCTGTATTCATTATTTGTGTGTGCCGCGGAGGCACATCTAGCACACATGCTGGAACTCAATGCCTGCCCCTTACCTCTTCCTGGGCGGAGTTCTGGCAGAGCTGCCTCCATATCCAGCCTGCAGGGCCCCTCCCTCAGTTCCCAGGATGACTTCACAGGGGAGCTCAGAGCAAGCCCAGCAGAGCTAAGGCCCACAAGAAATCCCTGTCCCAGCTTGCAACAGTGGCACACAGGATCAAGGTAAGTGAAATACTCTACCTCACCTCTCCCTGCACACATATGAGGCTGGCTCTTCCTGGCTCTTCTTTCTGTGTGTCTCACCTCCTTTCTGTCTCTCTCTAGTTTTCTAGCTGTCTCAGTCTCTCCTTTCCTCGTGTCACTCTCTGTCTCTCTATAGTTTTCTGGCTGTCTCTGGCTCTCCTCTCCTTGTGTCACTCACTCTCTGTCTCTCTAGTTTTCTAGTTGTCTCAGTCTCTCCTTTCCTCATGTCACTCTCTGTCTCTCTAGTTTTCTAGCTGTCGCAGTCTCTCCTTTCCTTGTGTCACTCTCTGTCTCTGTATAGTTTTTTAGCTGTCGCAGTCTCTCCTTTCCTTGTGTCACTCTCTCTATAGTTTTCTAGCTGTCTCAGTTTCTCCTTTCCTTGTGTCACTCTCTCTATAGTTTTCTAGCTGTCTCAGTTTCTCCTTTCCTTGTGTCACTCTCTGTCTCTGTATAGTTTTTTAGCTGTCTCAGTCTCTCCTTTCCTTGTGTCACTCTCTGTCTCTCTCCCCTTTCTGTCTCTCTATTTCTTTACATGTGTAGCTCTGTCTCCTATTGGCTTTGTCTCTGTCTCTCCTTCTCTGTGTGTCTGTCTTCTCTGGCACTCTCTATCTTCCTCTCTGTTTCTTTGTCTCCCTCTCAAACAGCCACAAATACAATCACACTCAGCCACCCTCACACAATCACACTTATCCAATTACACACATACATTCAACACTCACTCAGAAACAGTACAATCACGCAAAGAAACCACACACACTTCAACCATGTGTATTGCTTAGTGGGGAGTGACGAGGAGCGAGAATATGCACATGGTGGAGTGACAAGAGGGCCCTACTTTAATACTTGCACAGGGGCCCAGAGGTCCCTAGTAACGCCCCTGGCTCCTCGCCATGGGCCCGCGGTACAGGTATTGCGGTTGCACCGGGGCCCACACACTAAGGGGGCCCACTGGGTGGCCCATACTCTTAGGGCCACCCAGTGAGCATGTTTCAGCAGGGGACTGGTCGGGCGCTTTGGCTCTTTAACAGCGCGACCAGGCCCCTATATGGCAGCATGGAAGGAAGTGTAGACCGTGAGTCACTTTCTCCCACAGAAACAATTAGCCGCGCAGAGAGAGTCAGAGCCAGGAAGCTGAGTGAGAGCCAGCAAGCAGAGCCATATCCCAGCTCCCAAGCACCCTAGCCAGCACACTGGACCCCAGGAAAGGTACCAGCAAAGGTAGGAAACTGGCTTTAAAAGTCTAAAGTGTGTGTGTGTGTGTGTGTCAGTATGTCTGTCTGTGTGTGCCACTATGTCTGTGTGTGTCAGTATGCCTGTAACAGTGTGTCTGCGTGTGTGTGTATGTGTGTTTAGGTGAATAAGTATTTGATCCCCTATCAATCAGCAAGATTTCTGGCTCCCAGGTGTCTTTTATACAGGTAACAAGCTGAGATTAGGAGCACTCTCTTAGGGAGTGCTCCTAATCTCAGCTCGTTACCTGTATAAAAGACACCTGTTCACAGAAGCAATCAATCAATCAGATTCCAAACTCTCCACCGTGGCCAAAACCAAAGAGCTGTCCAAGGATGTCAGGGACAAGATTGTAGACCTACACAAGGCTGGAATGGATTACAAGACCATCGTCAAGCAGCATGGTGACAAGGTGACAACAGTTGGTGCAATTATTTACAAATGGTAGAAACACAAAATAACTGTCAGTCTCCCTCGGTCTGGTGTTCCATGCAAGATCTCACCTTGTGGAGTTTCAAGGATCATAAAAACGGTGAGGAATCAGCCCAGAACTACACGGGAGGATCTTGTTAATGATCTCAAGGAAGCTGGGATCATAGTGAGCAAGAAAACAATAGCTAACACACTATGCCATGAAGGACTGAAATCCTGCAGTGCCAGCAAGGTCCCCCTGCTCAAGAAAGCACATGTACAGGCGGGTCTAAAGTTTGAATGATTCAGAGGAGAACTGGGTGAAAGTGTTGTGGTCAAATGAGACTAAAATCAAGCTCTGGGGGTGTTTTTCTGCTAAGGGGACAGGACAACTGCACCACATCAAAGGGACTATAGACGGGGCCATGTACCGTCAAATCTTTGGTAAGAACCTCCTTCCCTCAGCCAGGGAATTGAAAATGGGTCATGGATGGGTATTCCAGCATGAGAATGACCCAAAACACACAGCCAAGGCAACAAAGGGGTGGCTCAAAAAGAAGCACATTAAGATCCTGGAGTGGCCTAGCCAGTCTCCAGACCTTAATCCCATAGAAAATCAGTGGAGGAAGCTGAAGGTTCGAGCTGCCAAACGTCAGCCTTGAAACCTTAATGACTTGGAGAGGATCTGCAAAGAGGAGTGGGACAAAATCCCTCCTGAGATGTGTGCAAACCTGATGGCCAACTACAAGAAATGTCTGACCTCTGTGATTGCCAACAAGGGTTTTGCCACTAAGTACTAAATCGAAGGGGTCAAATACTTATTTCACTCATTGACATGCAAATCAATTTATAACTTTTTTAAAATGCGTTTTTCTGGTTGTTAAAATACACCTACCAGGGGACGGAGCCTAGCTGTCAAGAGGAGCAGACGTGTGTGTCCAGAGCTCCTGCTGTAACAGTGAATAAAGAAGTTTGTACCCTGGCAAACAAGAGATTAAACCCACTGATGGGCGACATAAAGCCCAGAGAGGTCCAAGCGACATACATCAAGATTCCACCAAACAGATTGATCACTGGAGACAGGAGGGACACCACTGCGGCCTATAATACTGGGGTAGGGGAGAAGCAGACGATCTTCCCGCTCACCGGTAACTCACGAGACCACGCACTCTCCTACCCACTCTCATCCCGGTCCTTCCTCGACTGCCTAAACCTGAAACGGGGCCCAACTACACAAGGAGAGCTAATCCAAGATGGCGACCGAAACGTGGCCTGAAGAGACGGCGCACAAGCAATTCGATCCAGCCCTTGACTCGGTAGACTGCATGCTACAGCGAGTGACTGAGCACTTTCGACAACTCTGGATTGCCCTGGAGAATCACCAACCACTACATCCACCCCAGCCTCAAGTTAGACAAAAGAGCATCGGGAGACAGAGTGAACAGAGGTCCCCCTCGGGCCTAACACAATCAGAAACACAATTACTAACACAACCTAACACAATTACTAGCCCACTTGGGCCGAGGGCCAACAAGGGCTTGACCCGAAGACGTCACCCACACGGACGAAGAGATGGCCGCCACAGACGGCGGCAGACCATCATGTTCCCCCGATCCTACCGCCAAGGGAAAGACCCGGCCCACAGAGAAGACCGGGTCCGTGGTTTAAGGATGTCGGCCTTCACACCGGCCTGGGGCTGGAGGGAGGACTTACCTCGCCCCCGACGAACTGCCACCTCTATACCGTGTCCTGTATCGAGCACAGCTGGCTACAAGCAGGGCCCAGAACAAGAGCGCACCTCACATGCGGCCTGCCGCTGGGCCACCTCTGATGTCTCTACTCCCCAACAAAATGTATCTGTTGATGAATCCCTTATGAAATACAAAGGGAGATTAGGGTTCAAACAGTATATCCCCTCAAAGCGGTCTAGGTATGGCATTAAAGTGTACAAACTGTGCGAGAGATCGAAAGTGGCTACACATTTGCCTTTCGTGTATATGAGGGGAAATATGGTCAACTGAACCCTCCTGGCTGTCCTGACTCTCTGGGGACAAGTGGGAAACTTGTTTGGGACCTACTGATCCCCTTGTTCAATAAGGGTTACCACCTTTATGTGGACAATTTTTACAGTAGTGTACACTTGTTTAAAATTCTTTATGGTTTGCAGACACTGGCCTGCGGCACTGTAAGACGAAATGCCAAGGATTTCCCCAGACCTCTCATAAAGGCCAAGTTCTAAAAAGGTGAATGCAAAGCTCTGCGCAAAGCTGAACTGCTTGCACTAAAGTTTAAGGACAGGAAGGATGTTCACATGCTAACAACCATCCATGACGAAAGCATGTCAGACGTCACTGTCCGAGGCAGGGTACAGACAAAACCTGTTTGCGTCAGGGCTTGGGGGGGGTGTTGATTTGGCTGATCAGCTGATGCAGCCATATCTTATCTTAAGAAAGACAAAAGCCTGGTATAAAAAGGTGGCTATCTACCTGTTGCAAGTAGCAACACATAATTCATTTTTACTCTTTAAAAAATGAATTCAGGAAGAACCACCTTTCTCCAAATTCAGCTCAAGCTGATTTCCACAATAATTTATGGAGATAGTCAAGTTCCAACAATGGTGCAAGAGGAGAACAGACATTTTATTTTTAAGATACTGCCAACACCAAAAAAAAGAAATCCCCTGAAACGTTGCCGGGTCTGTTATAAAAAAGGGAAAAGGACAGACACCCCTTTTCACTGTCCTGATTGCCCTACAAAACCTGGACTGTGTATTGGAGCATGTTTCAAGGTCTACCACACAGAAAATACATTTTTATAATACTTGTTCCTGATTTATTCTTTTTGTTTATTTTGAAAGCAGCAAATTTCTGTTAGTCAGTATCCTTCCCCCAAATCTCCAGTTAGATTCTTTTTGCAGGAGTTAGTTTACAGATTGCTGCTAATGGAAGTTTTAGTCTCATTAAGTCTGTTTTTAGTATAAAATTTAAAAATTTGTGTGTTAGTAACTCTGTGTTAGTCAGACTCTGACGCCACTGACACTGCGTCCGATTTTGACCCAGGTCAATTTTCTGACACATCTAGTGACATGTCATCTGTGTGTGAGCCGACTGCAAAAAGAAGCTGTGCTTTCTCTGCTACGCCGAATGTGGAGGAGGAACGGGTTTCTCCACAGTTAGCTGAGCCCCAAATCCCCCCTTTTAGTTCCAACACAGGCATTAATGTCAATGTGGATAACTTCTCCCCTATGCAATATATGGAGCTATTTTTAGAGGATACCATCTGGAAGGAGATTGCTCCCCAGACTCATTTAT